TGTGTGTGTGTGTGTGTTTTGGGGTGTACCAGGATTTGTGTGTGGAGGTCAGTTCTCTTATTCCACCATGTGAGTCCTGGGGGGATTAGACTCAGGTCGTCAGGCTTGACACCAGGCACCTTTACCCACTGTGCCATCTCACTGGTCATATATACAGTTACTAATTAAAGAGCTACATGACCTTACCATGTGGCTTATCCCCCTCCATGCCTCAGTACACCTGCAGTATAGGGGTGAAAACATAAGGTAAGCCAGATGTGGGGTACATGCTTGTTCATCCCAGCACTCAGCAGTCGGAGGCAGGAGGATCAGGAATTCAAGGTCATCCTTGATTACATAGTGAGTCCAAGGCCAGCAAGGACTACATGAGACTTGGTTTCAAAAAAAACAAAAAACCCAGTCTGGCATGGTAGCACATGCCTTTAATCCCAGCACTCAGAAGGCAGAGGCAGGAGATGTCAGTGAGATCAAAGCCAGCCTAGTGTACATACTGAGTTCCGGGTCAGTAGGGACTACAGAGAGAACCCGTCTCAAAAAGACAAAACAACAACAAAAAACCAAATAAACAACCCTCCTCCCAACCATTGATGCTTGCCCATGGGCCACCCTTTTGGGTTCATAAAGACAGTGTTGGATAGGTGACAGCAACGTGGAGGTCCTGGGCTGGTGTGGCTGTGGTGGGAGAGTGCTGGGATACTATGGGGTGCACAGACACTATGGGGTAATGAGTGCTGCTCAGGGCTGGGGAGAGTACAATTTGTGTGTATGTGTTCATGTATGTGCAGGTATGTGAGACTGTGTGTGCACATATGTGTTGAGGCCAGAGGCTGATATCAAGTGTCTTCCTCTATCACTCATTTTCTTAATTAAAATTTATATATATGGTGCAGGACCAGAAAAAATTTATATATACATATATATATATATAATTTTTTTTCAGTCTTTTTGAGACAGGGTCTCCCTGTAGCCTCAGCTGTCCTGGAACTATGTAGACCAGGCTGGCCTTGAATTCACAGAGATCTGCCTGCCTCTGCCTCCTGAGTGCTGGGATTAAAGGCGTGTGTCACCATGCCCGGCATTTATATATATATCAGTGTATTGCCTGCATGTAAGTGCATATGAGTATGCAATGTCTGCAGAGGCCAGAATATGGCATCAGATTCCCTGGAATTGGAGTTATGGACCATTGGTAGCTGCCATGTGAGCACTGGGAAGTGAACCTGCATCCCTCTGCAAGACCAGTCAGTGCTCTTAACTACTAAGCCATCTCTCCAGGTCCACCCCTCCCTTTTTTTGGTATGTATGTATATATATATATATGTGTATGTTTTGTTTGTTTTGAGAGAGGTTCTCCCTGTAGCCAGAACTGGCCTGGAACTCACTATGTAGACCAGACTGATCTTGGTCTCACAGAGATCTGCCTGCCTCTGCCTCTGAAGTGCTGGGGTTAAAGGCGTGCACCACCACAACCAGTATTTCTTGGTTTTCTGATAAAGGGTCTCATTATGTAGCCCTGGCTGGCCTTGAATTCCTACAGATCCTCCTGCCTCTGCGTCCTGGGAGTTAGGATTACTCTGCTCTCCTTAATTTTCGAGGCAGTGTCTCTTATAGAACCTGGAGTTAATGGATTTGAGTGGTTGGCCAGCAAGCTCCAAGGATCTGCCTGTCTCTGCCTCCTCAGCACTAGGAGATTACAGATATACACTGCCATATCTGGCTTTTTACCTGAGTGCTGGGGATCCAAATTCAGATCATCACGTTTGCAAGTAAGCACTTGGCCCACTGAACCACCTCAGGGGTACAATCTTGAGGAAGTGGTGATAGAGACACAGATGGGAGTCACATAGTAACAATATTAGCCTCAAAGCAACAGGAAATTATGCTGAGCATATCACAAGAACAAATTTTCAGGGCTGGCATAGTGGCCCATAATCCCAGCTCTTGGGAGGCAGAGGCAAGAGGATTAGGGGTTCAAAGCACCCTTGGCTACATATCAAGTTCAAGGCCAGCATGGGTTACAAGAGACTCTATCTCAAATTCTCAGACTCCCCACACTCTTCCCTGATATTATTATTGTGTCCATTTTTGTTGTTGTTTGTTTGAGACAGGGTCTCATGGAGCCCGCTGACCCTCAAACTCCTTATGTACATACAGTAGGATAGCCTTGAAATTCTGATCCTCCAGCTTCCACCTCCCAAACCCTGGGATTACAGGCATGGATCACCTTGTTGGCCGTTGTGTCCATTTTACAGAGGAAGCTGGGACTGAAGAGGTAAGATTTGGCACCCAGTGTTATCCACAGGTTTAGGGTGGAGTTGGGATCCTGGCACGCCCTAGACAATGGACTCTAATATCTAATACAGGGCAAATATGTGAATGGTGGGCAATGTAGGGTGGGGAAAACTGGGTGGCTCCTTATTGGAAAGCTGGGGTCATGAGATACAGATGGCAACTGTCAGGTCCACTGGGAGGGATGGAGACCCAAGGGCGATGTGACAGGAGATGTGGAACAGTGGCTATGAAAAGATTTGGGGAAAACAAGATTCTATGAAGGACAAATGACAACCAAAGAGGGGTGTGGGGTGACATGAGGCAATGACAATTTAAAAAGACTCTGGACCCAGGGCAGGGGGCGCACACCTGTAATGCCTGCGCTCCAGAGGTTGAGGCAGGTGTAAGTCTGGGCTGCAGGGCGAGTTCGAGGCTAGTCTGGGTTACATGAAACCCTGTTAAACAAATAAAGAGAGGAGACAGCACATATTGGCTGCAACGAAGACTTAAGGGTAATGAAAAAGAATAAAAGGGACCTATGGCGACGAAAGGGAAGCGATGGCGACAGAAGGGGAGTGGTGATTTAAGTGGGATACGACCTAAGAAGAAATGGGCCACCTGAGTGGACTAAGGACGACATGGAAAGATGCATTACAGACCAGAGGGTGACACAGGGAGGGCAGCCGAGGCGCCGCGCCTGCGGATCGCACAATACCTGCACTCCACGTCTCCCATTCCGGGCCTCAGCCCAGCACGCAAATTCAAGGCTGGGGCCCCGCCTTCCGGCCCTACCTGCGCGCAGGCGCACTTGGGCTTCGACTGCGGAACAGGGGGCGGGCGAACCCTCGCGTTTCTGATTGGCCGCGCTCTTCGCTAGGGAGGGGCGGGGCGGAGGGAGGCACCTGAGAGGCTGAACGTGGTCATGTGACCGCACTTCCACCGCCTACTCGCTGCTTGGAGGCCTGGCGGGCTAGAGCGGTCGGCGGCCGGTCAAACCTACTTCCGGCTTTGGGGGCGGAACTTCCGTACCGGGCTTTTGTGGGGCGGGGGTTCGGGGACTGCTTCCCAGGCCCAGGTTCTGGGAGGAGTGTCTGACAGTTGGCACGGCTGGGAGGGCGACCCGGCGGCGCGAGGGTGCGGGCCGGGTGGGCCAGGTGAGGCGCGGGCCCGGGCGGCGGGACTGTGCAGGACGTGGAGGTGGCGTTGCGGGGGCGGCTCCGTTGTGCGATTCCACAGTCGAGCCATTTCCTTGTCTGAGCCTCAGTTTCCCCCTCTCTAGGATGGGGGGGCCCCGAAATCTACGGTAGCACCCACTTCACGGGTTCCAATGAGAAGGCAGCTCGTGCACGTCGCGGCTGGCCTCAGGGCTCACCGCGTTAACGTTCCTTTGTGAGCGCTGTAGCCTGCACCTGAGCTTGCGGATTTGGGACCATATCCCAGCATCCCTGAGTGGAGTCGGGCCTGTGTCTTTACAAGCTCTCTGAACCTCAGTTTCCTTTTTGAAGCGAGAACTGATAGTAGGCTCGTTGTCCGGATTCTGATGATAATGAGCATGTCAAGTCCTGACGAACCTAGAGCTCAGAGGATGGGGACTGTAAAGATTCTGAGTCTGTGGGTGGAGCTGGGAATTCCACCCGAGTAGAGGAGGGAGGAAGCGCTGAGAAAACTAGAAAAAGGCAAACCTGGAGTTGGGAAACCGGTTCTGCGGTTTGCCCCTTTCCTGACCTGAAATAGAGATTTTTCTTTGTCTTGAAAAATGACTTGCATGTTTCTCAATTTGAAGAGGAAATTTTGCATTTTATTATCTTAATGGGAAGCTAGCACTGCTTGCCAGGAGAGGGAAAATTTAACCTGAGAGACAATAGAAACAGAGCAGTCTGTTCAATTGTAGGCAGTAGATGGTAGATACTTGAAAATGAGATAATTTATACTATATAGTTACATGTTGCTATGCAGCCCATCAGATAGTCTTCTCTGTTTGGGGGGGCATGGTCTCATGTAGCCCAGGCTAGCCTCAAACTTGCCAGGTAGCTGAGGCTGGACTTGAACTCTTGATCCTGTCTCCACCTTCCAAGTGCTGGGATTACAGGTGCATGCCAGCACACCGGGTTAAATAGTCTTTTGTGTGGTTCCCAACTCACACCTGGCATGCAGCGGACATAGGTCCATGACTGTGTCACCCTGTTCCTAATTTAGTACAGATTTAATTTAATGTGTATTGCTGCCTGCCAGGCTTAGCTGTGTGGGCTTTGAGTTTAATTCATTCAGTCTCTCTAACACCTTTAAATTTTTTTCTGAATTTTAAATTTTTTTATATTGATTTTTTGTGTATGTGAGTGTGGCAGTCAGGACAACTTTAGGGAGTCAATTCTCTCCATCCACTGCCTGGTTCAGGGGATCAAACACAGGTTGTGAGCATTGGAGGCTGGTGCTTTTACTCAGCCATCGTGCTCTGGCACCTTTTAAACGAATAAATGTTAAAACATAATCATTAGAAATGGAAGTTCAGACCAGACCCCAGATTTGTCCTGTGAGATATCTAAGACCCTTCTAAGCCAAATTCTTTTTATAAGTATTTTATCTATTATTTTTATTTTATCTATGTGAGTGTACTGCCCGCATGTATGTAAGTGCACCCATGTCATGCAATGTTCATGGAAGTCAGAAGAGGGTGTTGGATCCCCTGGAACTGGAGTTATGGATGGTTCCTAGCCACCATGTGGGTGCTGGGAATTGAACCTGGGTCCTCTGAAAAAGCAGTCAGTTCTCTTAACTGCTGAGCCATCTCTCCAAACCCTGCTCTGGCACCTTTAAGAGTAGATAATTTCCCTCTCTCAATAAGACCCCCCCCCCCAAAAAAAAAGAGGTATTCTTTCCATTTCCTTCCTCAGTGCCAGCAGTGGAACCCAGGACCTTGTAAATGCCATGCAAATGCTTGGTCATTGAGCTGCATTCCCAGCCTTTGGGTTTTTGAGTCAGGATCTTGCTATGTAGCATGACTGGGATGGAACTCAAAGTCCTCCAGTGTCAGCCTCCCAAGGACTGGGATTACAGCAGTATGCCAGCAGGTTAGGTAATCATCATTCTTTTAAAATTAAAAAAAAAAAATTTACTTATTTGTATGAGTGTTTTGCTTATATGTATGTCAGTGTACCACCTGTGTACTCTGCCCATGGAGGTCAGAAGAGGCTGCTGGATCCCCTGGAACTGGAGTTACAGATGGTTGTTAGCTGCCATGTGAGTCCAGGTCCTCTGCAAGAGCAGCCAATGCTCTTAACTGCTGAGTTGTCTCTAATTTGATGTGTGTTTTGCCTGCATGTAAGTGCACACATGCATGCAATGCCGCAGAGGCCAGAAGAGGATCCCCCTTGAACTGGAGTTGTGGATGGATGTTAACTGCCATGTGGTTGCTAGGAATCAAACCCAGGCCCTCTACAAGAGTAGCCAGTGCTTTTCACTGCTGAGCCAGCTCTCCAGCCCCCTTAATCTATCTTTATGTCTCTCTTTATGTACTTGTGTGTATGCCCACATGTGTGCGGATGCACCTGTATATACACATGTACATGGAGGCCAGAGGTCAATGTTGAATGTCTTCAATCACTCTCTATGTTTTTTTTTTTTTTTTTTTTTAGGAACTCACTGTGTAGACCAGGTTGGCCTTGAACTCACAGAGATCTCCTTGCCTTTGCCTCTCGAGTGCTGGGATTAAAGGTGTGCACCACCACCCCTGGCTCCACTCTACCATTTTTTGTTGTTGTTTTATTTTTTATTTGTGTAAGTATTTTGATTATCTGTATGTACACTGGTACATAGAGGTACATGCCTGGGAAGGCCAGAAGAGGGTGACAGAGCCTCCATGTGGGTATGTGGGTGCCGGGAATCAAAACCAGGTCTTTTGGAAAAACAGCAAGTTCTCTTAATGCCTGACCTACCTCTCCAACCCTTGTATTTGGTTTTGATTTTGTTTTTTAGACAAGGTTTCACTATGTAACTCCACTTGGCCTGGAACTATGTAGCAATCCAAGGCTGGTCTCCATCTCACAGCTATCCTCCTGCCTCTGTCTCCTGAGTGCTACCATGCTTGGTCTATGCATTATTATTATCGTTATTACCTTTTTTTTTTCTTTCAGACAATGTCCTCTGTAGCCCCAGCTGGCGTGGAACTCATTCTATAGTACAGGCTGACCTCAACTCACAGAGATCCACTTGTTTCTGCGTCCCAAGTGCTGGGATTAAAGGCTTGTGCCACCATGCCTGTCTATGCCTTATGCTTTGAGACAGGGTCTCTCACTGAACCTGGGGCTCACCCATTTGACTAGACTGGTCTGTTGCTGTCTCCCCAATGCTGGGATTATAGACATGCACTACAGTGTCCTGCTTTTTATGTGGGTGCTGGGGATCTGAACTCAGTCCCTCTTGCTTACACAGCAAGTGCTTTACTGATTGAATCATCTTCCAGTGCAGAGATGGATTTTTAAGATGGTAGAGAAAGGCAGCTGTGTGTAGTGGTACATCCTTGTTTTCCTAGCACTTGGGAGGCAGAGGCAGGAAGATCGTGAATTTGAGGCAGCTTTGGGCTACTTAGGGAGACTCAGTGTCAGCAAGTAGACCACAAAAAATCGTGGTAGGAAGCTGGAATTGAGTCCAGCAGTGACTTCTGCTATGGGGGGAATACATGGGGGATTCTGTTTAGTGTTAATGGAGGCCTTCCAAAGACAGACTGGCTGTGCCTGCTTCATTGCAGCCCTTCATTCAACATTCACCAGAATGTGGCTTGAGCTCAGGTCCTGGCCCTGCTGTTACTTGCTGTGCCCTTGGACTTGCCATTCTCTCTTAATTTCCTTTTCTTTGCTCATTTTTCCACTTTCCCCAGGTTCATTATGAGAAGTAGCTGAGATGTGGCAATCCTCAGTTCCTGGTACAGACTAAACCCTCAGAGGGACCTGCTCCATGGGTGTCGGAATCAGGGAGAACTTGTTTTTGAATCTCAGTAAGGTCAGTTGCTTGATGTGAAACTTGGGAAGTGACTCTTCCTTGCTGAGTCAGTGGGTTTTAGTTGATAAGAATGGAACATCTTTGGGATGCTCAGTTCCAACCTAGTGCCTAGTTGGTGTTTGGTGTGATATATTGTTCTGTCTGAATTTCTCAGAGCTGTCGTATCATGTGTTATCCAGAGGGGAGAGTGGGTCTAAGTGTGTCAAATGCAGGTGGAGTCCCATCCATCCATGGTCATAGTCATCAAGCAGAGATAGAGCAGAAGCCAGAGAAGGGCAAGAGAAACACCAGCTGATGTAGAGGAGAAAGTCCCACATTTGAGGTCCTTGGGAAAAGCCTCACAAAGCTGGACATACCCACGTATGGGGAAGGAGAGTATGGCAGGAGGACAGGAGAGGCTCTCCAGGCACAGGTGGCATCCTGCGGTAAACTTGAGAGGCCATTGTGTGCTGTGCCGTGCATCTGTAGCCCCAGCAGCTCTGGAGGCTGAGGCAGGAGGATTGCCAGATGCAATCCAAGGCCAGCCTGAGCAACATAGCAAGACTACATTTCAAACAAAACAAAAGAAAATCTAAGAGGCTGGCAGAGACTAGTGGGGAGAGAGCCAGGTAGGAGGCCTGGGGGGACAACAGGCATGGCACATCCAGTACACTTAGCAAAGCGCAAGCTTTGTCTTTGTGCTCAGCCTTCAGACATGGAAAATCATACAGCCTGTGCTGCAGGCCTCCAGGGTAAAAAGAGTTTGCACCACCCTGTTCTCAGATGAGGACGCCAAGGTGAAGCAGCTGGTGGAGGCCACAAAACTTGTAAGTGGCAGAACTGGGTCTGAACCCTGAGGTTCAGTTTCAGCACCTTTTTTTTTTCTTTGTGAGAATGTCCATGTAGCAGAGGCTAATCTTGAACTCTCGGTGGTCCAGCCTTCACCTCCCCTCTGCTGAGAACCATAGGCATGCCACCATCCCCAGCCAGAGCCCTTCCTCTGAACTAGTCTATTACACTGTCAAAATGGGCCAGGAGCAGGGCCGGTTGGATGGGGCAGTGAACAGAAGTTAGGTGAGAGCAGAGAACCAGAGCGTTCTGCACCCTGGGGGCGTGGAGGAGAGTGAGAGAGAACAGAGTGTCAGGGCTACGCAGGGCAGAAGGGATCGGAGAAAAGTGAGAGGTCAGAGCAGATGGAGAAGAAGGTATTGATTCAGGGCAAGTGCCTGGCAGGGGGGGCAGCAGGTAGCATTACATCATCATGTGAGAAAGACATTTCTGAGCTAGGGACAGGCTCAGTGGCTGAGTGATTGCTATGCAAGCCTGAGGACCTGAGTTCAGATCCCCTACACTCACCTAAAAAGCTGGGCGAGGGTGCATGTGCCTGTAACACCAGCACTGTGGGGGAGAGACAGGAGGATCTCTGGGGCTTGCTGGTTGCCAGCTGGGTCCAGGTTCAGGGAGAGGCTGTGTCTCAAAGGAATAAGGAAGAGAGTGATAGAGCAGGACACTTGATGGCCTATGTGCATGGGTACATGCACCTGCACATATGTGTTCATATACTACACTACGTAGACACACACACACACACACACACACACACACACACACACACGACATTTTCAGATTCCTTCTCAATACTTATGTCCAGAAAAAGACTCCATTGCTGCTAGTATCTTTTG